ATATATATATACGCAGATACATACACATATAGATACGTATTAGCACACACACATTGACCATGGCTCGCAATAAGGGGTCTGCACGGGGTGCATCTCGGCGCAAGGCAAACAGTACAAGTCAAGCTACACCAACACCAGAGGTCGAGAATACAAAAGATACACAAGAGAACACAGTTACTAATGAGAGTTTACTTAAGTCACCTGCTAAGAATGGCAAAGAATCACGACCCTCATCCCCACTAGTCAAACAGAGGAAGACAGCCAAGCGAAAACTTGAGGCACTGAATGCGCAACTGGCTAACGTTATACACAGGATGGAACACGCCGAGCCTACCGAGGAGGACCGTGCAGAGGTATGTATTCATGTGAATTTGATCGAATCCGTGTGTGTGTGCGTAATTATATATATATATATATATATATATTTTTATTATTATTATTATTATTACTATCATTATTATTACTATTATATATTACATATATATATATATATATATATTATTATATATATTATTATTATCATTATGTCATTATATCATTTTATTATTACCTTATTATACTATGAAATTGTTATATTATATTATTGCATTATTATGCTTAGTATTATATTTTTATATGTATTTATATATTCATATATTTAAATATAAATATATAGGGTTTAAAAACATATACATCGAGAGAGACATATCAATATATGTCCCTGTGTTTGCGTGTTTGTATACTTTTCTACAATAATGATATGTTCTTGTACATATCCTATTATATATATATAGACATATATTTATATATATACATATATATATATAGATGTATGTATGTATGTATGTATGTATGTATTCATTTATGTATATATACATCTATATATATATATATATATATATATTGTGTGTGTACTATATATATATGTGTGTGTGTATTGTGTTTGTACTTTATATATATATAATATTTATATACATATATATACCTATATATATGTATACGTATGTGTATTGTTTGATAAAATATTATCGAATAATATTCATTTTGAAAAATAAGTCAATATATGTATATTTTGAGATAGAATTGTATTTGTAAAGTTACAAGCGTGGATATATATATATATAAATATATATATATA